TCTATATGTTTTAGTTTGTAACCCAGCAAAGATGTTTCACTTGATACCATTAAGGTGCCCAGGGGGCAATGTAGTGCTGTAAGCTAAGTAGCTACCATGGAGATTACAAATGCTGTATTGTGAGACTGGTTACCATGGGGATTGAGTAGTGTAGTAAAATAGCTGGTTACCATAGGGATCATGCGGCAGGACCTGATGCAGTCACTCATTCCCATCATGCTCATGTAGTCGGCATACTCTCCCCTCCTCATGAAGTACTGGTTACCCATGTAGTTGGTGCGATCGTAGACCATGACACAGCCTCTCTCCACCCTGCAGGAGTGACACCTGCTCATGTAGGAGGACAAATCGCCGCAATCACTGCTGCATTCGTAGGAACGTCCCTGGAAGTTCCTGTCCTCGTAGAAGGTGATCTGGGGAGAAACAAGTTTAAGGAAGGAAAATGAAGTCTAGCTGTTTTAGATTACTATAGTTTAGATGTCTGTACAGGTAAAAAAAAAAAGCTTTTTAAAGGTCTTTATTTTTGTTTCACACATAACAATACATTTTATAGCTAAGTTTGTCTTCAGCAGGAATCAGATGATGGGAAAATTCAATACAGTAGAAACTACCATGATATACATAATAAATCCTGGTGTTCCTAACCAATCATCTAAACTGTCTTCAAGAGCGTTTCAAGATACTTCTTTTCGGAAAAAAAATGTTATCCAATTTTCATTTGAGATTAGTGTATAGCATTGTAGTAACGATACTGCCCCTGTTCTATGAGCTGTTTCCACATATTTACCATTGGCTTGGTATGAACACGAATCTCCTTTGGTTTAGCTTTATAATCGTTTATTGGTGTTAAATAAAACAAAATCCTACAAGATCCTGAACCCTGATCCAGAATCTTTGCTGCATTGATCACTCCTGAAAGCCAAGTAACCTTTGGGCATGATGGCAGTCTGGACTGTGGGGGCCATGTCCGTGTGGAGCTGGAGGAGGCTCAGTGCAGTCAAACCAGTAAATTGGGAGCTTTTATACACTTGAGTGAAGTTAACAGCTTTGTGTATCAAAGTTCAGACTGACCCCATTATTGTGTCATTACACAAAGCCTCCTTGAAAGAGTTACTATTGTCCTGATGAATACGTTTTTTTCACATTACTATAATGTAAATTTTTCTAGCACAATTCTCTCGATTCAGTCCTAATAACACTTTTTATAGTCTTGATCAGCGGGAGTAACATTACACTTAGATACACAGTAAATATCTGGGTATCTCTAACCTATAACCAAAAATTTCTTGTAGAAAAATTACAGTGTTTCAAAAAAATTGTAATTGTAATTGTAATAACAAACTACTTACAAGAATTAGGCTTTATGTAAATAATCAATGAGGTTTCTGGATACAACATAAACCGTTCTCATTCTTGTTCTTATAGAAAATTTGAAAAAAAAATTAAAGATGAGATTTAAAGTAATTTAAAGTAAGTGAAATGATCTCAATCACTCTTAACTTGCAATAACAATGCTTTGTTCCTAAACCAGGATCCACAATATTTGTTGCATTGATCAACACTGAAAGCATAAGTATATTGATGGCTGTGTGGACTTACCCTGCTCATCATGTTCATGTCTGTAGGGGCCATGTTGCCGGAGTGGAGCTGGAAGAGGCTGAGTGCAGTCATACCTGCAGGTTCCCAGCTTTTATACACCTGGCTGAGGTTGATGGCTTTGTGTATGAGAGTGCAGACTCAGCCCATGGTTGGGTGTCATACAAAGCCTTTCTGAAAGGGTTAACAATAATGGTGGGAGGACCTTAGCTGTTGCATTCATCACACAAGAAGTTTGTCAACCTGTTCATCAACAAAGTCCCCTGTATCCTACCTTCAACTGGTGGCTAACAATGAGAACATTACAGAAAGTGGGCCGACTGTACAGGTGAAAACACTCACCTCTTATTGAACACACAGAGACACAGTGACCAGGAAGAATAAACACTACAAACTTTTATTTTCCGGAGCACCAACGTGCAATGATTTTAGTCAGAAAAAAAGGGAGGCAAGGCAATTTTATTTGTATAGCAAATTCAGTACACTCACATTTTTAAGTGCGTTACATGCATTAGATAATAAATACAAGAAAAATAAAAGCAAAAGCATTTCAATTAAATTCATTTTATTTATATAGCTCCAATTCACAACACATGTCATCTCAAAGCACTTTACGGAGAGAATTCAATCAGATCGTACAGAAAGATTGGTTTTCTATCTAAGGTAAAACAGTTGATTGCATCCACTCATTGACTTAAAGGCAATTCCTTTGTAAAACAAATAAAACCATTGGACTACAACTAAAACAGAATGACAGCAATAAAAAAAAAAACATGACAAAAGCAGGTAGAGAACAAAATAAAACATTTGGATCACAACCTTAAACTAATAATACCTCAGTAAGCAGTATAAAATCAACAGGCAAAGGCAGCTCTAAATGAACAGCTCTAAACTAACCCTTTTAACTCTTACTTAAAGAACTCATGCTTTGTTCCAGATAAGTGGAGCATAGGAACTAAATGCTCCTTCCCCATGTTTGGTTCTAATTCTGGCTTTACAGAGTCAGCTTGAATAGAAGACCTAAGTTGTCCTGGAGGTTACACTGACATCAAATCTGTTATGTATTGAGGTGTTGATCTATTCAGTGATTTATAGACTAACAGAAGGATTTTAAAGTATATTATTTTAATTTTATATTATTTTAACACAGGCAGCAGCGTTTTGGATCAGCTGTAGCTGTCTGATGGACTTTTTTTTGGCAAACTTGTGAAGAAACTGCTGCAATAATCAATTCTACCAAATATGAATTCAGGAATAAGTTTCTCTAGATGCTTGGACATTATTCCTTTAAACCTGGAGATGTTCTACTGGTGATAAAAGGCAGACCTGGTAACTGCCTTTAATTGCCTCCGAAGGTTCACGTCTGAGTCCAGACGGTTAACAATAACGGTGTCATGATGACACCAAGATTTTGGCCCCAGCAGATTATTTCCCTCAATAATCCAAATTTCTGAGATTGCTACTGTTATGGTTGTTAAGTTTCCCCAACTTTAACCTATAAAGAATGAAACAAAGACAGTGTAA